GTCCTTTTGTTCAAGTTGCTGAAACTTGCAAAGTACTTATTTTCATTGGTAAGCATTATAAGGATGAAGTTATGTGTGATGTCATAGACATGGATGCTTGTCATATCCTATTAGGTCGTCCATGGCAGTTTGATGTGGATTCAACTCTCAAAGGACGTGATAATATAGTACTCTTTTCATGGGGCAGTCATAAGATCGCTATGGTTCCTCTCAAATAGACGGAGAAGTCTACACATCAACGAATTGAGAGTTTCCTTACACTTACAAATGATGAGAAGGAGATTATGGAGTCTGTAAGAGAATCTGATTGCTTCTATCCAGTTGTAGTTAAAGGGCTTTTTACAGCAAATAAAGAAGACAAGAGTGTTCCTCCTGAGGTGCAGAAAATATTGACAGAATTTGACGATTTGGCTTTCGATGAATTGCCGAATGAGTTACCTCCTATGAGGAATATTCAACACCAGATTGATTTGGTATCTGGAGCTATCCTTCCAAATTTCCCTCATTACCGAATGAGTCTGAAAGAGAATGAGATTCTAAGGGAGCAAATTGAGGAGTTGTTGAAGAAAGGGTTCATAAGAGAGAGTATGAGTCCGAGTGCAGTACATGTCCTTCTAGTGTCAAAGAAGGATGAAAAGTGGCGTATGTGTGTTGACAGTCGTGCCATCAACAAGATGACAGTAAAATACAGGTTTTCCAATCCACGGTTGGAGGATATGCTAGATATGCTTGGGGATTCTAAGGTTTTCTCAAAAATAGATCTCCACAGTGGTTATCACCAGATCTGTATTAAGCCAGGGGATGAATGGAAGATTGCCTTCAAGAGTAAGGACGGACTTTATAAATGGTTGTTGATGCCATTCGGACTTTCAAATACCCCAAGTACTTTCATGAGGATGATAAACCAAATTCTCCGTCCTTTTATTGTGTCTTCTGTTGTGGTGTATTTCGATGATATCCTTATTTACAACAAGTCTAAGGTGGATCACCTAGCTCACTTGAGGCAAGTCTTGGACGTTCTGAAGGAAAATCAGTTGTACATCAACTTGAAGAAGTGCACATTCTGTACATCTAAGCTATTGTTTTTAGGCTTTGTGGTAGGGGAAGATGGTCTGCATGTAGATAAAGAGAAGATAAAAGCAATTCGAGATTGGTCAACACCAAAGTCAGTTTCTGAAGTGAGGAGTTTTCATAGGTTAGCAATTTTCTACAGACGATTCATCAGGCATTTTAGTACTATCGTGACACCTCTTACAGAATGTTTGAGTTGGGGAGAGAAACAAGATAAGAGCTTCGCCTTCATCAAAGAAAAGTTGTGCACAGCTCCAGTATTAGCCTTGCCAAGTTTCGAGAAGATCTTTGAGGTGGAGTGTGACGCTAATGGTATTGGTATTGGGGCTGTCCTTTCTCAAGAGAAAAGACACGTGGCTTTCTTTTCAGAAAAGTTAAGTGATGCCAGACAGAAGTGGAGTACCTATGAGCAAGAATTCTATGCAATTGTTAGGGCTTTAAAGCAATGGGAACACTACCTGGTACAGAATGAGTTTGTGTTGTTCACTGATCACCAAACTTTGAAATTCATTCAAAGTCAGAAACACATCAGCAGGATGCATGCTCGATGGGCAACTTTTCTTCAAAAATTTCCTTTTGTAACTAAGCATATATCTGGAAGTACCAATAGAGTTGTACATGCATTGAGTCGGAGAGCTTCCTTATTGATCGCATTATCACCAAAAATTGTTGGGTTTGAGTGCTTGAAAGAGCTGTATGCAGATGTCCTGACTTTAAGGATATTTGGAATAAATGTGTGAATCGGGAATCAATGGTGGATTTCTATATTAGTAAAGGGTATCTATTCAAAGGCAACCAACTTTGTATTCCTGTTTCATCTTTACGTGAAAAATTAATTCAAGATCTACATGGTGGAGGTCTAAATGGACACTTGGGGCGTGACAAGACAATAGCCAGTTTGGAGGCTAGGTATTATTGGCCACAATTGAAACGGGTTGTTGAAATTATAGTCAGAAAGTGTTATACTTGTCAGGTATCAAAGGGTCAAGTGCAAAATACTGGGTTGTACATGCCACTTCCTGTCCCTCAGGGCATATGACAAGATTTGGCTATGGACTTTGTTTTGAGATTACCTCGTACTCAACAGGGGGTAGATTCTGTTTTTGTGATGCAATACAGGTTTTCCAAAATGGCGCACTTCATAGCTTGTCGAAAGATTTCAGATGCATCACATATTGCCAAACTGTTTTTCAGGGAGATTATTAGATTACATGGAGTTCCTAAGTCTATCACATCAGATTAGGATACAAAATTTTTAGGGCACTTTTGGATTACCTTATGGAAGTTGTTTGGAACCAATTTGAATCGAAGCAGCACTACCCATCCTCAGACTGATGGACAGACCGAGGTTACTAACCGTACTCTTAGAAACATGGTTCGAAGTGTTTGTGGAGATAAACCTAAACAGTGGGATCTTGCACCACCTCAAGTGGAGTTTGCATACAACAGTGCAGTTCATACTGCTACAGACAAGTCTCCGTTTGTTATTGTGTATACAGAGGTGCCTTACCATGTGGTGGATTTGGTGAAATTGCCTAAAGGTAATAATAAAAGTGTTGCTGCTGAACATCTAGCAGAGAAAGTGATAGCAGTTCGTGATGAGGTAAAACAGAAGTTAGAGAGAACTAATGCCAAGTATAAGGTAGCAGCAGATTCACAACGATGGGATAAACAATTTTAGGAAGGGGACTCGGTGATTTTTTTTTTTAGAAGAGAGATTTCTCGTTGGTACTTACAATAAGCTGAAACTAAGAAAGTATGAACCTTTCAAAGTACTTAAACGGATTAACAACAATGCCTACATTATTGATTTGCCAGTGTCTATGGGTATTTCTCGTATATTCAATGTGGCAGATTTGTATGAGTTCCATAAAGATGATAAGCCTTTGTATCCAGATTATAACTCGGGATCGAGTTCTTCGAAGGTGGAAGGGACTGATGTAGGACATAAGGGGTATTTTGGAAAAAGAATACTAGTAGAAATAAATCATTTTGATTTCGGATCGGTCCCATAAGACCATTTTGGAAGGAGAACGACGAGGGGAACAATACTCATCGCTACACCGTGACATACGTTGAATTTCGACCATTCGAGTTCGTTTAGGCCTCGAAAACTGATATTTAAAGTTTTAGCGCTATTTTTGTCAATTCATTTATTTTCCTTTTTTTTACAATTCTAGTTTGATTAAACTTCTTTTTCATTATTTTTAGTTATAAACTACGTTTCCATGTAAACCCTTATAAATAAGGGCTTAACTCGTTTTTTTTATTATTTTTCATTAATAAATTCGTGAGTTTATTTTCTTTATTATTTGATAGATTCCAAATTTCTTGTTCTTAAAATTTTCGCTTGAATTCCTTTCTTTCACTTCGTCATTCATGCATCTATATATGCATACAACTAATTGTATTTCTATGTTTAGGAGTGTTGAACCATATGTTAGGATACCAAATGGAATATCACTGGGACATATTCATATTATTGTGTGCATAAGTCAGTTAAGATGCCTAATGGAACAATGTCAGGACGCACTCATATGTATGATAAGAGTGCCTCCTGGAACACTACCATGCATATACATATAGGACGGAGCACTGTCCAGCATTATGTTATGCTGTTCACAACATCAATGCATGATATTCACAATCGTACCATATTCCACTCGCTAAATGTAATTTTACAACCGTGGTATTGTTATGATTTTCAAAAAATGTTCAAGAAGTAGCTTAATATAACTAGAGGCAATGGGAGAATGACGAATCAGATGTAATATCGTTGCCAAGACCATATATAGTGGTGATTATGATGTCAAAATGACTAAGCCACATTAAGATTTATATTTATGGTATTAGGTATCTTGACATACTTGAAATTATAAACTGATGTTATTAATTTTAGTTATGTTTATATGAATATTCCTATTGCGTTGTTGATTTTAGCTTCCACATTCCATTATTTCTTTAAATGTGAAACAAGTAGCCATTAAACATTGGAAATTAAGGACAGGCGTTGCATGATGACAGACGAACCACTCAACCTAGTAACAGTTAGAATCACAACCAAGGCCAAAACAACATTTTGAATAGTTATTACTATTCTCAGATATCATAAATATATTTCACAGGATTCAAAATTAAGATTCAAAGTCAGACTGAAATTTGATAAATAAATTGTACGATTTTTATTTTTATCTTTTATTTTTAGTTTTATTATATTTTGTGTACGGAAAATTTTTCCGTAGTTAAATTAGGTTTCACTGGATCCAAGTCCTGCTCCATCACTATTCAATGTATCTTCACATGGAAAATAATGTGCATATGTATGTTCACAAGAAGCTTAGGAGTCTGAAGAAAATGTTTAGCAACATCAATTTGATTCCAGTCGGGACCAAAACAACATCTACACTAGCATACAGTTCTCGGATATTATAGACATGAATTATCATAGGATTAATTCAAAATCAAGATTAAATGTATCTCAATGTGGAAGACTATAGTGCCTATATTCAAGAAAGTTGCTTAGGAATTTGAAAATATGTTATGTTCGCACCTTTGAGGCTCAACTATATTCTAGGTGTACTTGGTTTTTCTTTATTGTAAACATATGGGATCAAACTCAAATTCCTTTACTTCCAATTATTGAGTTCGGAGTTCCAACTTAAATTACAGTAGCCTGGGCTCTTATAAATTTTTTATTTGGATATTTAATGGATGTGGGATTTTACAATTAACACCAACCCTCGAGCAAAAGATTTTCTTGCTCCAGGACATGAAGAAAATTACAAATTTGAGGTAATTAAGGCCATTTATTTCTCAATTATTCAGCTACTCAGAAATGAATAAACAGCTATTCCATGTAAGAATTAAATTGAAAGAATGAGAATTGTTAAATTACTTGCTAGAACAAAAATACCAAGCAAAATGGGCACCTGAAGACGGAGCTGGAGGTTTCCTGGAATTTGGCCCAGATTCCGGCGGTGGTGAAGTCGGCCCAGGACTGGTGGCGCGGCAGCGTCCAGACCAAGAATGAGCTCTGAAGGTTGACGAAGGTAGCGAACGGTGGCAATAAATAACAGAAGCAGAAGAAGAAGAAGCCGCCCGCTGCTGCCCCTGGAGTTTAATGCTTGGAGGTAAGGGAAGAGAACAAGTGGTCATATTTGCCGAAAAATGGGTTGTGTTCTTTTTGATTTGGTTGGATGTTACACTTTTTCCAATTGGTCATAGTCAAACGTTAGAAAATTTTAATAAAAGTTAATAAGATGTGTGATTATAACGTGATAAATTTTATTAAATATATGGTTAAAATAAATTATTGATTTAGATTTAAGTTAAAATTAAAATTTTATTTCCTATAAAACAGTGGCATTACATAAAATCACATAAAAATTTAACTTGTGTATTTGTGTCATTTATCGTGTCGTGTGTGTACTTCTTGAATTTTGATTTTCTTTAGAAATTATATGGGGTTTTCCTTCTTTCGTTCAATTTGTATTTTTGATTTTCTTTAGAAATTATATTGGGTATTCCTTCTTTCGTTCAATTTGTATTTTGGTTAGATATTTGATCTTGAATTTTTCGCATGACTTTTTATGACCGTACTAATTTATAAATTTTATTACTGATTAAATTTGAAAAGTTATGAATTTGAGTTTTGAAATCCATTATCTTCCCTAGTTGGTGTCGGAATGTTTAAAAAATTTGTTTGTATTTCAAAGACGTGAAAAAAGTGTTTCATAGTTATTGGGGGAGGAAATAGTGTTCAATGGCAGATTGATCCAATCCAAATTTTCCAAATGGGCTTTGACCAATCTTAAATGAAAAGAGAAAAAGATAAAAAATAAATAAATAAATAAAATCACCAAAACATTAAAAAACCTAAAGTACAATTTCAAGAGAAGGGAGAAATTAAGAAAAAAAGAGAAGGTTCAGATTTGGACTACCCACTTACAAATGAAATGGACGACTTACTATTCATCTTCTTCATCTTCTACACTTGACAAGGTTAATATTTATTCGAAATCTTAGGGGCAGTTATCTTTACTGTTATTAGGTTGTTTTCTGTTTTCGAATTTTCAAAACGGTAAAAACACGCTCTCTTTCCTATTTTTCGAAAATGAGTTTTTCAAAACCAAAAAAATAAATAAATAAATAAATAAAATAAAAAATTGTACTAGAAACTTAAAGGGAGATTTTTCTATTTGACCTATCATTATTCTTTTTTGTTGAAAGATCTATATTACCCTTAATGAAAAGAATCTTTCTATATTGCAACATATATCATAATCTTTTAAACATTCTATCTTATATTTTCCCTATTTTGAATATTTGAATATGATTTCATTTATGATTTAATAAATTGAAATAATCTGCAACATATTGTTCACATTTATTATTTAATATATTATATTATTCAGAAGATGCATTCATATGTTCTAATTGAGAATACATATTTTTTATTACTTCTAACATTCTTTCTAATAAATTATCCAATCTTTTAATTGTATATCCTGTCATTTATTCAAATGATCATCATGTAATTAATCCCTACGATTCTTTAAGATCTTAAAATGATTCATTCTAATTTTAGCAAAAGTTTAATAGTTTTACCTTAGGTTTGATCCGGACTTGTATTTTTAGAACCGAGTGACTTTCGAGCTCTGAATCTATAAACTGCTTCCCTCAACAGCCTCCTACCTTCACGGAATTGTTACTGTTTCAACTACTTGCTCTCATTGTATCAACTTCTAAAGAATAAAATCCCAGACTTCTGTTAAAAAAAACTCTCTTTTTGCTAAAATAAGAAGGAAACTTTTTATCAGATCTTTCAAGAATTTATGAGAATAAAGATTTAGAAACTCATATTCATATCAAAATATTGGAGTTTTATTTCTATCAGAATTTATACAAGACTTCTATTTGGTACAAAGGGATTTCTAGAAAAATTGGTTTTTCAAACTGGGAATGAGGTTTTTGAATAACTATTGCTTACAACTCGAGATTTCAAAGTAGGATGAGATGATCTATGACAATGTCTCTATTTATACAAGTTTATGAGACTCTATTACATCATTGAGTACATCAGCAAGGCACACTTGCCTCTCTATTATTTTCCTCTTTGAGCCTACATCTTCACATCTTTTTATCCATAGGATGTATTTGTAGCATTATCATATAATTATTTTGTTTATAATATTGAAATTGTTGTATAAAATCATTTCCTAATAATATATCACATTCTAGTTTATTATATTTATAAATCTTATTTATTGTTACTTGTTTACTTCCAAGAATTATATTAATTTTATCAGTACTATTAATTATTTGAGTACTTTCTCCTGTAACTCCATTTATTTTTATATTACTATTATTATTCAATGATTTTATTAAAAAAGTTTTAAATATTGTTATATCACTTTCTGTATTTATTAAAGTATAAGTAGTTATATTTGTTTCTACAATAGTAATTTGTATATACACAGCTAATGGAAAACTTATCTGACTATTTATTTAATTCTTTTTACATAATGTAGTTTGTCCATTGTGAACAATATATAATTCTTCTCTTTGTATACTATAATCTTCTAATCCATTTAGAAAACTCATTCCTAAAAGTATATGGGGATTTATATCCATACTTTTATCTATATAACATGGTACTAAAAGATCCATTCCTTCTATTTTTATTGGTACCTAAACTTCTAAATCTGTAATATGTATTTATTCATCAAAATTTACATACTTATATGGCTCAGTTTTATTAGTCATTAGACCTTTATTTCTAATTGAAGTTATATGACACTCACTAGCTCCAGTTTCTATTAATATATTTGGTCCATTTATTTTTTTTTTTCATTATCATATTCTCCTTCTATTTTCATGTTTCCAACATCCCTATACAGTTTTACTTCTTTTATTTTGTTAATTTCTTCTAACTGAGTTTTATTATGTATTTTAAAACTTTTTGTTCTTTTACTTAATTTCCCATCCTTAAATATGATATTATTAGAACATTCTCCTTCATTTAATTCTGTTATTTTAGGTTTATTTTTTGTTATACTAAATTCATATTCTTTTGGAATTAAACTTATTTGTTTATTTGGTTATATTATTTTACTAATATCTTTACATTTTTTATGAACTTCGATATATGATTTATTGGAATAAATATTCCCGTAATTAGAATTAGTAAATGTATATAAAATTCTATATTCTATAGTCATAATTTGATCACCTGATTGCATGATATCATTTCTGTGAAATTTAAAATGTAGTCCTAAAATTTCATTAAAATTTATATCTTTTAGTGATACACAATATTTTGGATAACATGTAAACATAATTTTTTGATATACTAAATTTCCTTCTATTGTTCCTAAATGACTATTTTTTATTATTCTTCCATCATGTAAAGTTATAGTTAAGGGTAAATCTATCCCTTCTCTAAATAGTGATTTAAACATTATTTGTATTCTTGCTAAATAAACATATTGAATTTTTTCACTTTATTTTTTACTGATCTTTATTAATAATTCTTCCACTATATTTTTTGTTAAAAGATTTAATTTATGTTGCTCATAAGTTGTCATTACATCTATGGTTTTTTTCTATTTTGTAATATTCATTTATTTCTGTTCTTTCTCTTTTCCAAATTCTATCAAAGACTTCTCATTTTCCTATTTTTAAGTCTAATTATAATTTTTGCAATTTTCTAAACTTGTTATTATCAAAACTGACTTTTAATTCATATCCTTCTATTCCTTCATATTCTTATATATTTATGTTATTACTTTTTATTTCTTCAATTTCTCTATTTAGATCCTGATTCATCATTTGTTTCACTTATATATACTTTTTGATCATAGTATTCTTCAATATCTGATATTTCACTTAATTCATCTTTTATTTCTAAACATTCTTTTTGTAATATTTTAACTTTCTTTTTATCACAATCAGGGTTTATATGACATATTTCTCCACAATTCCAACATTTACATTGGCTTTTATTTTTATTTTTATTCTTCTGTTGATTATATGAGTTATTTTTTCTCTTGTAATACCTTCTCCTAAGTTTTATATATTTTTTATTAAAATTTCTAAATTTTTTAAACTTTTTATTTTTATATTTTATTTTATTAATTCTTTTTTAGGATTACATCCCCATTGCACTGGGGTTTCCATATCTTCACAACATATTTTAATTAATTTTCCTGATTTTTTCATTAATTGTTTTTGTTGACATATACATGCAAGTTTTTCAAATAAAAAATTTATTCTGAACCTAAAGTTCTAGGTATTACAATATTATCTTTAACATATTTTTTAAATTCCATTTTAAAACATATTTCCCAGGAGCCTGGTAACTTATTATAATACATGTCTTGGTATACTTCTTGATTTTCATTATTATAAAATTAAACATAATAGTAATTTTTAAATTCACAAGTATATTTTTTAATTTTACACATATCACATATTGTTAAATTTATTAATTTTATTCTAGCATTATCGTTTTTTCTTATTGATTATTCTTTAGCATTTCTTATCCAATTTTCTCCTAAAAACTCATCTGAAATATATTCTACTAATTTTTCTATACGTTGTCTATCTGATTTAATTATTTCTGTTTGTACATTTCTTTTTATTAATATTTTTGTATCATTGCTTATTCTTTCCCACCAATTTCTAACATCTCCTTCAAAGGATGCTATTAAGAAATCTATTTTTCTTTCAGTATTTTCCCATGTGTCATCTTTGTTATATAAAAAGAATAATATCATTAAATCTACCCAAGTTAATAAGTATTTTTTGGTATCTATTTTACAATTTAAATCTAGTTTTGTCCCTCCATGATTAATTTTTTTATCATAATTATCATTTAATTCAAACCTATCTTTATATTTATTTCCTTTAGGTGGTTGTCTATCTCTTACTTTATCATAAAATTGTCTATATGATTTATTAAATAACCTTCATAACTTTCATCTGTATCATATAATTCCAGTTTAGAGGTTCCTGCTGGATTAGGTCCTCCTCCAGTATTCATTAAACCTTGGTATTCACTTATATCAGTTAAGCTTAATTGGTCAAAATTTTCTATTAGCAAATCTAATTCTTCACTCATCTTCTTTTTCTTCTACTTTTAAATTTCCTAATGATTTTTCTCTAGATTCTTCTTCCTCTTCCAATATTTTTGGTAATATATTCTTTTTAAATTCATCATCCATACTTCCAGTTTCTATTACTATATTTTCTTTTTCTATATGTTTCTTTCCTATTTGAGTCATTTCTTTTTCTATAAGTTTTTTTTTTATCTATTTTTTATCTTTATTTTTATTATTTTATTTTAATTCTCTAATTTCAATTTTTAATATATTTATATCGTTTCTTGTTTCTTTTACTTCATTTCTTAAATCTTGTACATAATTTATTAACATTTTTATTAATGATTTTAATTTTTCCATATATTAACTTATTGACATCTTATTTTTTTCTTATTTTTAACTCATATGTTAATTTGCCTTTTTATCTATTATTTTTCTAAATTTTCTCTTAGCTGTTTTTGGATCTACTAATTATTCTTTTACTATAGTAAAATATTTGCTCTCAAATCTTAATTTCTCACATCTTAATTTTATTAATTGTCTATTATTTGATATTCTGATTTCTTCTGGTATTAAGATTATATTTCATATTTCTTCTTATATTTTTTTCCATTTTTATAAGTAGTTTATTTAATTTTAAATGTGTATTATTACTAGTACTCATACTTTTCTTTATAATATAAATTATTTCTTCATCTTCATACATATTAATAATTTTTTCATAAGTATAAATATCTTTTATTTTTTCTATTATTAAGATTTTTAATATTTGTTCTTTTATTTTATTTAGGAAGTTCTTTAATTATTGTTAAAGTCATTATTTTTAGTCTATTATGAATGAGTTTTAAAAATATATAATTACATTTTTCTTCTTCTAAACACCAATAATTATTTATCTTTCTTATTTTTATTTCCATGATCTTTTTGGCTCTGATACCAATAAAGGGGTGCTATTTATAGCGATCAAAAATCAAATAAATAAAAAAAAATCAAATAAATCAAATAAATTGGCAATCTATTAAAATTTAAGCAATATTTAATTTTTTAAGGACTAAAATAAAATATTTTTATTTTTTATTAACTTATTATGTAATATTATAAAGAGGTTATTTTGGGTATCAAAATTAGCCAAAGTTATTTTGGAAAAATAATCTTTCTATTTGGGTCATTTTCATGTATTTCCCAAACTTAAAATGCCTTTTTTATTTTTTAGATGTTTTGAGCGTTTTGCAGCCAAATATAAGAAAATGATTGAAAACACGGGAAAAGCACATTTCAAATTAAAAAAAAAGAAAAAGAAAAACTTTCTCTCATTCTTTTGACTCACCATCCCGTTCCCGTAAGATACAGTAGATTTCCTAGGGTTTGGTCTGCCTTCCCGTTCGTAGATTGAAGACTCTCGAAGGCTTATCCTCATCTCCTATTTTCTACTCTAGATATTTCTTTTGCGGGCTTTCACTAAATCATTGTTGCTTCTGCTTTATTGGGCACTATAGCTAGCGTTCTTCACCCATACTATATTATTTTTGCTTTATTAACCCAACCCCTTATTTAGTTAGTTTGCTGGTTTTTTAATGTGCCCTCGATTTGTTGTTTTTTGCTTAATAGATGATAACCCATTTAGTTTTTCTGCAAAAATGTACATTTAATTCAGTGTGACTATTTTTCTTGTTCTATTTGTGTTACTGAATTGGGTAAAACCCGTTTGGTGGATTTTCCTTGGAAGCGTGATTTATCCGTACGCTTTGCATGCGAATGTGTTGTTTTATTTGTTCGGATTGGTGATAAATTGGGAGGTTTTGAATGAGGGACAACTGGACAAGAGTGTGCGATGTGGTAAGAAATGAAGTTTGGTGATTTTGAGAGATGGGGTGTGTTTTTGGGAAAGAGAATGTCATTTGGGCCTCCTATTGACCAGGTTGTAGCTTGGAACGGGAGAGGGAATGGGGGAGAGAGAGATTCGGCTACACCGTTGGGGAGAAGAGAGAAAGTAGTAGTTGGTTCGTGTATCATCGACTTCTCATTTATGTCCCCATATACTTCATCTCCTTCTTTTAGGCCTTTTACTTGACTATCAACTTTAACCACCACACCAGCAACATCATAGCCTTGAATAGTCTACCGGGGGGAAAAAAGATCAATACATTAAGTGGGCACATTTTTTAGGTGATAAAAATTGTAAATTTCACTTTCTGAATCAGTAGATATTGCAATTTCAGCATGAGCATATATGATTCTAGCTTAGCTTACATAGAAACTTTCTATCAAGGAGTGAACTTAGCTATTCATCAAGTCTTATTCCATATAAATTTGGAGTGTGCTACATGATTTTTTTCCCCTTTTTTTCACTAGTTAAGTTCACAGTTGAATAAAATCTGTAGGGAAAAAGAAAGAGAGGGAGTACGAGAAAATTACAGGAAGGGTGTGAATCAATGGCCTTAAATTGCCCAAGCCGCCTTTTGTAATATACTGGATTAATAGATGCTGTCACCACCTTGATCAAGACCTGATCATTCTTCACTTCCGGCACTGCAACTTCTGACTCGGACTTCAACACCTCAACCCCGCCATACTCATAGTAAATCCAGGCCTTCATTTTGGATGGTATAGGAGAAGACACTGACACGAACAGCTTGCGAGCTAGAAAAATGGGATTCTTGTGGTTTTATATTCAGATTGTGGCCGGGAAATATGGTGTGTTTTCAGTTTGGAAGTTCCGTAAGAGTGTTTACCACAGATGACTCCAGAAAGCCTTTCAGACCTTTTTACAAGCCTGTAATAAAGTCTATGTTCAACCTATTCATTTAAAAGTTGTTTCAAGTATTGTTTGACAAATCTTTTGATAAAAATTGAAGTAATATATGATTAATAAAATTGATAAAAGTTATGAAATAGAAGCCATGTGCATGAAATTATGGGGACAAGTTATCCTGGAAAAAAATCTCCAAAATATCAAGTGTGTTCTTTTATCTTATCATTTAAAAAAATTGGAGTAGGGCCTTTGTTTTGTTCTTGTTTGTTACGTAATTATTTTCATGTATCTTTTTGTTCTGGTTGTGTTTGCTTGCTTACTTATTTAAGCTTGATTTTTTTCTTCCTTAACGTGTCTGCCTGGAATAACATTTAGTCCATTAGGCAAACAATCGAGCTTGCAACTTTATCTGTTTAATATCCATGTTATTGAATCAAGATCTCCAAGTTAATACATAGCAAATTTTCCTCCAAAGAAAATTTTGGCTTTTCCCTGGATATTCTTTCCCAATAAACCAACATGAAGAAAAAAATAATATTAGCTTGCTATCTTCTCTTAAGCAAAAACATACCTTGAAGCAAATGAGTTTACAAATGTCATAGGCACCGAGACAACAGTAATATAATTCTGGTGTTTACTATGAATAGCCAAATTGCTTCTGTTACCCTCGGATGTAATAAGCTCACCCCTGAAATCTAAAAATCAACAAAATAATGAATCTATCAATTTAAAATCAAAATTTCAAACGAGCCCACAAGAGTGAAGCTCCTGAAGACCTCAACAATTGAAATAGGATAATTAAAAACCACATGTACTAATTGATAAAATTAAAGTTTTATATTTTAGTTTTGCTTAACATGTTCTGGTAAGGCACTTCTAATATGTTATGTGTTGCTTAATTTGATGTATATTCAATATAGCTTTAACATGGGTGGTCACAGAGCTAAGAATAAGGAACCAATGTTATGGTCGGACGAGAATGAACACGCTTTTATCGAAATTCTTTACGAAAAGGTGAAATCAAATGCATTACAATGTTCTACGTTCACGAAAGACGAATAGGGCAGGATCAATGAAGCTATGATAGCTTCAACAAAAATGGATGACGGCATAGATAGATTAAAGAGAAAGTGGAACCGCTTACGTAAAATTCATCGCATGTTCTTTGAACTTTTGGAACATACAGGTGTTACATAGAATCCAAATACCAACAAAGTTAATGCTGCAGAGGAGGTTTGACAATACTTTTATACGGTAACATATATTTATTAAAGAATATATTCGTCATTAGTTTTTATCTTATCAATTTTACATTTTTTTGTTGAACACTATGTGGCTTCTTTTTTCAATGATAGATTAACAAGTCGGATTATAAGATGTTCAAGAGGGAAGGATGTAAGTACTACCACACTCTTAGGGAGATAATTAGCGAGACTATAGCTATTGGAGGATTAGGCAATGCCTTTACTCAACTTCCAAACACATCAGAGGAAGAAAGGTAGCTAGAAGATTTTTTGAACAGGATAGCGCATGTACGTGCAAAAAATGATGATGAAGTTGATGAGGTTTCAAGTACTCTCGACGTGATGAAATTGGTACATCGGGTGAACACCGACGTAAGGAACATAAGATCAGTAAAAGTAATAAACTCGAGGTCTGCATGGCACAGTGATCATCAATAGTTAGTTTGATGAATGAAGAAACTAAACCTAAAACACTTTATCTAAAAGAAAAGCTTGCAAAGATCCAAGAAAAATCATGTAATCGATCGGATAATAAAGTTAATAGTCCGGATTCTTATTCAAATGTTATTTGCTTGAACATCTTAAATTATATGGAAGGGGTGTCCAATGAGATTTATATGAAAGCAATAAAAGCTTTAAGGATCCCGATTTCAAGGTGTCAATTGTAAAAATGTTAGAAGCAAGGAGAGGACCTATTTTCGAACTACTTTGATGTGATTGTTGTTTTAATTTCTCTAGTATCGTGTTGTCTTAATTTGATATGTTGATGGTTGAAATACTGTGTTATTTTCACAGCTTGAAGAACTTTTTTTCCTTTCGTGGTGATGATGTACTGTTTTTTGAACTTACAATTCGGTGATGATGTTGGTTGGAGAATTGATGTTAATTTTTCTTTAGTTTCTGAATGCTTGATCGCTTGTTTTATTTGAAAGAATGATGGTTGATATGACTTATGATAGTTGTTGTGGTTATATTTTGTTCACATTATGACCAATAAATCAAATGTGGATGATAATGTGAGTACTGATGATTCTATTGACGAAGATTCGAGAGATGATGATTTCTATGTAAGGATGATTTTGACTCAAATTTTGGAAATTTGATGATGTTTAATTGCTTTGTTGCCAACAAAGGAAGTACCATTGGTGAGAGACCTTGCAGAACATCATTGCTCATGGGAAACATGTACATGCTAAAAATTCTGAATGAACATCTGAACGTGTGCTATCATAATTTTTGTATGCAGAAACATGTTTTTAATAATTTTTGTAATATTTTGAAAGAGAAAGGGTTGCTGAAAGATGGGAAAAAAGTGAGCATCGAGGAGGGTGTTGCTATGTTTTTGATAATTGTAGGGTACACTACACGATACAGTGTCATTGGTGATAGGTTTCAATATTCCAACAACACAATACACAAATGATTCAAACGAGTTGTAAAGGTTGTTTGTTCATTTGGCACTGAGATAATCCGTCCGACAAATCAAGACATTGTGCATGAGCAGATTTTACGCAAATATCCTTTCTTTAAGGATTGTATAGGCGCAATAGATGGAACACATGTTACAGTTTGGGTTCCTGCATCGAGATAAACGTCTTTTCGTGAAAGGAAAACTAATATAACACAAAATTTGATGTTGACATGTGATTTTGAAATGAAATTCACATTTGTGTATTTTGGTTGGGAAGGTACTGCTAGTGATTCGTGAGTATTCGTTGACGCAATCACGAGAAGCTCGAATAACTTTTCAATGCCATATGGAGGTATATTCTTACACTTCAAATAATTATTGTGAATATATGTACAGTGTCACACTATGTAAGCACTTTTTTATTTTGCAGATCAATTTTACCTTGTTGATTCTGGATATCCAAACATGTCTGGATTTCTTGTCCCTTATCGAGACTAAAGATATAATCTTCATGACTATGTTGGATGGGAAAGACTATATGGGAAGGAAGAATTGTTCAACTATAGACAATCATCGTGTCGTAACATTATTGAACGTTGTATTGGAGTTTTAAAGGCAAGATTTCCTATTTTGAAGTTGATTACAAATTATCCACTTAGTAGATAAAGACAAATTCCTACTCCATGTTGCACAATTAACAACTTTATTCGTCAGGAGCACGTTTTAGATAAGTTGTTCATTGAGTATTCAGAGGAGAATACGATGTTTCAAAATATACCGGAGTCAAATTAAGATCAAGAAGTCAGATATTTTGATGCTAGTCAAATAGTTCCAATGGGACAAGTCAGGGATCAAATTGCTATACAAATGTGGAATGACTACTTAAGACATTGTACATAATTCCGCGGATGTTTTTATATTATGTTTAGTATGTGTTTATTTTGTCATGACATGTAAACTTCTAATAGTATCTATTGAACTGTGTTGCCAAATTTAATTTAGGTCGTGTTTTTATATCTGTGAAAAAATATTTTAAAATTCACCAACTTCAAAATTTATATGTTATTTAATATTATATTAACATTAAACTATTAAAATTTATTGAATGATCATATTTTTTGAATAAAATATTATAAGAAAATATTCTCAAAATTTCAAAGTAAAACGCATTTTTCAGTTTTATGTTTTGAGAAACAATTTTTTCAAAATGATAAAAAGAATTTTCAGGAATTTCAAATCAGGCACTTAAAACATAAAACTCAAAATGAGTTCAAAACTCAAAACTATAAAATTGAGACATAAAAAGAACAGCCTCTTAATATTTCAATGTCTTGTAAAATGTGAATGTAAAGATTTGATTTTTTTACATGAAATATCAATAAATCTTGTAATTTATGAGTTTAATACATGCATTGTGAATTATTTATGGTTAAAATGGAAGAAAAGTCGAATTTGATGTTGAAATTGATGATTAAAACACTTATTTTTGTAGCACAGCTTCGCTAAAAATCACATTACAAACTTGAATGTTTGGGGCTTAATCACATTACGCTAAAAATACGAACGTGCAAGAAAGCATTAAATGAGCTAGAACATTGATAAAAAAAAATGTGAAGCATAGAAATATATCTCTATCCTCTATCGAACCTCACAATATTTATTACTACGAGCTAACGATTATATTATCTCTCTCGATGACAATAAAATCCACAAACAATTCAATTATTGGCCAAGTAATTGAAAAGCAAGTTAAACCATTATAAACATCCAAGAATTCAAACAAATTTAATGTCAACTTAATTATTCAAACCAAAAATTCATAATGAGGGTTCATTACATCCTAACGATATAAGAAAAATTAGACAAGCATATTGTCGAAATAAAACATGCAAAAGTTAAAAGACATCACCAAAAATTGACGGAACGTGAATATATATATATATATATATATATATATATATATATATATATATTCACATTAGCCGGCTTTCTTCTTCGTTGTTTTCTGCGTATATGAATTGTCACCAGCCTCAAATCTTCATACCCTCACAGTTGCCTCAATTTCTATGTGTTTGTATATAATTAATAACAGCACCATGTTGACCATGCAAGCTGCCTTCAATTATTTCCACCATGAACAGCCGCCTTTTGCATGTATAATCTCCAAAAAACTGCCAACAATTTCTGCCTCTTTTCTCCAATAGCTGGCTGCCCTTTTTTCACTTCAATTCCTCCTCAAAAGTTGCTGCCAATGTGTGTGTATATAATATATTTCAGCAGCACAATGTTTTTGTGATTCCTCCGGTTGACAGCCCTTTTTTTTTCTCCAGCAGCAATCCACCTTTTTTCCTCTCTAGCAGCTGCCGATTCCCTTTTTTTTTTTCTTTCTCCAGCTACCTCTTCTTTCTGCCGTCTAATGTGTATATGTATATGATAATCTCCTCTCCTCCAGCTTGAGTAAGTATATATACACATATTAACCTAGCCCACCAAAAAAAAGTCCAAGGTCTTTTCTTTGAAATCCACTCTAATTGCAATTCCATGGCCCAAGTAAAATAATATTTTTACCTAGACCTTCTCTTTTCAAAATAATGCAATTTAGTCATTAAGTTCTTCAATTTCTATAGTGTAAACTTTGATCTCCAAACTTTGCATCCAATGGCTAATTTAATTTCCATACTTCGGATTTTGCCATTTTTTTGTCATTGATTGCTTATTTCCTTCAATTCCTTTTCAGTTATAGAGTTTACCTATAAAACATAAAATACGACAATTGATGATATAATTTGCCAAAAGAATTATCAAATATTGCTATTTTAAGGTCCGAACAAGTGTATAAAATACACTTATCAATTAGCATTTATGAATTAGGAGACATGTGTCTTTAAAGCAGGCGATGTCCCCAGCTTGGTTTTCTTGATAACACAAAACAACTTACAAATCATTAGCATGAAGCCCAGGAATGTCTAATCAACTCAGAGGTTTCAAATTACCTATGCTACAATGTCCCATTTTCACGTCACCTCACTTCTACTTCACAAGTTCATCAAACTACGTATCTTTTAAAGCCTCGTCCTTAGTGCTATGAACTTGCCTTTGCCTCACAAGTTTCATCTAGTTGCACATTTTTCAGAGCTTCATCCTTTGTGCTATGACCTCGCCTTTGCCTTATAGTTTCATCAAGCTGCCAAATTTTCGGAGTCTCGTCCTCTGTGCTAGGACCTCATCTCTGCTTCGCATATTCATCAAACTATCTATCTTTCAGAGTCTCGTCTTCTAGGTCAGGACCTCGCCTTTACAATACCCCGCTTATATAGTTGCTCCATAAGGTATCAAAATATCACTTTAACATTTTAAATTCATTATATAAATATTTATGCTTGGATATAAGGGCTATTATGTTGTGTTCAAGTACACAACTAAAAAAAAATTCCTCACAAAGGAAGGTAAAACACTACACACCAAAGCATCACTTTGACAATGGATTACCCTATGACTTATGTTCTGCTCAACCTAGAATTTCATGCATTATATAAATTTCATACCGAGATTTAGCATACTATTTTTACTCCTCTTTTAACGAGGCTCCAAACAATGGCCACATAGAAGTCAACTAGCATCACAATCAGGTCCACACTATACATCACTGTCCTACCTGGCCACGTTGAAGCCATATATTAACGTAGTTGAAGTGAAAAATCGCGTCAGCCAAGGTGTCATGCAAACCCGACCCTTCATGGCCAAGACTATGTGATATAATGTGCAGCATGGTGAATCTTTTCCATGAAAAGAAGATATCTCTCACTTCTCATTTTTCAAGAGATCTTCTATACAAGAATTTTCTATGGTTGATTGATATGACATCTCTTTAGCAGATACTTCACGGTTAGATTGTCAGACTACTTTTTAGAGGTCAGACCTATGCTATAGGATGACTATTCTTCAAAAACATTAAATGTCCCTCAGCCTTGATGGAGTGACATATAGGAGAAAACCAAGATGAAGTCACGTATCTTTTTATTCAATTGTAACCGTTAACCATTCTTGTCATCTTCTACTCCAAAAGCTTACTCTTAGTGCCATTTGAAAGTAATGCAATTTTACACACCCTCTAAGTAACATTGCTCTAATATTTGTTTTCTCATATACCCCCATGCGTGAATGGTATTATGGCTCACGTCCCGCACCCAAATATATCGATTGAATTTATCGTCCGAGTGCACGTGACCACCATCCCCACTTCCGAACAAGGTCATGTCTTCCTAACACTTTGTTTAAGTGTGCAGAACAAAGGTTATGTGGACATAAGTGGAGCTAAGATATGTTTATCACATCAACCATGCAGAATTCGAGGTCAATTGTTCCTTCTTTGAGTTGCCTCATTAAGAATGTCTAAGAAATCTTATTCAGTCTTGAATTGATCACATCCGACTTTGTTATTAAAATTGGGAATTTTATCTTAATAGGTCTATCTTGTTAAGTTGAATAGTCGAAACCCCTAAATATTGTATTTTTGCTTAGTCTTTATTAGATATTCATAGTTAACATTAACATTCCTACGAGATGACTAATTAGAGAATATTAATCTTAAAAATTCAATTGCTTGTTGGAGCATAAACCGAAGAATTTGCTCAAGCTTAATAAACTCCATTCTATATTGATATGTACAATATATTTTTGCATTTAACATAACTGAAGGAATTTTATCACAAAGAGGAAGAAAAAAATGAAAACTTGAAGAAGAAAATGAGCTACAAATTACATTATGATCGGCTGCCAATACATATAAGATACAATAGGATTACAACCATGTCGTTGACTATCAACTTTTACCAACTACAACCAGACTTTTGACAGATTAATACCATGCTTTGATAGAACTTTGATAACAAAAATAAACATTACATAGACTTAATTTTAAAAGTGGCAACAAATATCAATACTCCTCCTTGACACTTTTGCTGGAAACACCAAGGCTTTTCCCTAATGTTTCAAATCTTCCTTTGGACAAGAACTTAGTTAGTATGTTTGCATATTGGTCTTCAGCTTTGGAAAGCACTAGCTTCACTTCACAATTATCTTGTGCTTTCCTAATTGCATGATACCTAATTTTGATATGTTTTGTTCTTCCATGGAACACCAAATTTTTTACCATGGCTACAACAGATTGGTTATCACAAAAGATCATAGTTGAATTAGCTTGTTTAGCAACCAAATCCTCCAGCATTTTCCTCATCTAAATAGCTTGATTGATTGCCTCAGATGCAGCTATGTACTCTGCTTTAGTAGTAGACTGTGCCACAATTTTTTGTTTCACTGAATTCCAGCAAACAATTTTTTATCACAAATAAAATGCATATCCAGATGTGCTCTTCATATCATCAAGAGATCTAGCCCAATCACTGTCAATGTATCCAATTAAATCCAAAGTTTCTAACCTTTTAAACCAGATTCCCAAATCAGCATTTCCTCTGATGTATCTCAAGACTCTCTTGGCAACTTGGAAGTGTAAATCACTTGGTTCTTACCTGAACCTGGAGAGCATATTTTTAGCATAAGTGATGTCAGGCCGTTAAATACAATAGACATCCAACCAAACTTCTATACATATTCCCATCAATTTTCTTGTTGTCATCATCTTTCACCAGTTTCAAGTTTTGAACCAATGGGGTTTCTACTAGCTTGCATATTTCCATGCTGAATTTCTTCAATATCTCATTAGCATACATCTTTTGACAAACAAAAATGCCTTCATGTGTCTGGTTTATTTCCATTCCAAGGAAATATTTTATCTTCCCTAAATTAGTCATTTCAAATGCCTTCGTCATTTCAGCTTTTGTATTGTCAATTAACTCCTTACTACTGTCGGTTATTAGAAGGTCATCAACATACAGGGAAATGATGATAGACTCTTTATCCATCTTTTTTATATATAATGTTTGCTTATTAACACTTCTTACAAACACAAGGCAGCTCAGGTGCTCATCAATCCGGCTGTACC